CATTTTATTTTCTGCTGGCTTTTCTGCTTCTTTCTTTAAGTCTGCATAGTCGTTTCGCATTCTTTCTATCTCTTTGACGGAGTAGTTATATTTCCTAATTGCTGCTTTACATTTAGAACATTGCGGATTCATTTTTGCGTTATATTCTGAAACCTTACCTGCTAAAACAACTAAGGCGTCAATGGTTTTCTTTAACTCAAAAGCAGTTGGTCTTATCTGTTCGTTCCATATTTTACCTCTTCTATCTTTATCTCTTATCTGCCATACACATTCAGCAACTAACGAAACAAAGTTATCGTAGGTCTTAAACTCCCCGGATTTATATATGTCAGAAACATTCTTATATACCATGTCGCAATCTTTGTCCATAACCTTATGGTTGCAATGAAATCCTAGAAACTCATAGTTTACCTTTCGAATGAACTTCTTTATTTCTACTGAGTCAGTTGGTTTCACTTCTATTTCATCGAATTCAGGAATAGTTAGTTTTTGATGCTGAATTTCAGGTAGTTTAGGTAAATGGTCAATAATGTCCTGCATTTCATAAAGATACTGTTCATTTGTTTCATCTTTCGCACTACAGTCTAAATTACTTGTTAAAAGTTCTTGCTTTATCTTCTGGATTTTTGTTTCGAAAGTATATGAAGAAGGAATGAAGCTTTTCATCTCTACTAACATAGATGTTGGATTCATGACTAACGAGTTTGGTGAAGTTGTTGTGGACAGAGTCCCGCCGTTCGCGGCTTGAATTGTTGTTGTGCCGATTGTTGAAATCATATCTTTACATACAAAATAAAAAAATAAATAAAAATAAAATTAGCGTTATTTTTTATTTCGGGAAAATTCATGAGGTGAGAAAAGAGGTGAGAAAACAGGTGAGATGTCACCACTTCACCTAAACATTATTTTTGGTCATTTACACTCATTTACGAAGAAGTTATGACAAAGCATTTACGAAGAAGTTATGACAAAGCATTTACGAAGAAGTTATGACAAATTCATGAGGGTGAGAAATTAGGTGAGAAAACAGGTGAGATGTCACCTCTTCACCTATAATATATTTTTGGTCATTTACACTCATTTACGAAGAAGTTATGACAAAGCATTTACGAAGAAGTTATGACAAAGCATTTACGAAGAAGTTATGACAAAGTCACGAGGGTGAAAAAAGAGGTGACATCTCACCTCTTCACCTATAATATATTTTTGGTCAAAGCTTCCACGAGAGAAAAGATTCCTCATTCGCTAAGGATTCCAAAAATGAAAAAATCATTGATTTCGGCTGAGAAAAAACAGCAAAACCCTTCTTCCACGGGAACAAAGAAATAAAGAAGAAATAAAGTAAATTTTTTATTTATTCCCGTGGAAGATAGAGCACTTTTATGACACTTTTTATTCACGACAAACAAGACAAATAAAGAAAATAAGAAAATACGGCGCTGTCGCGGTTCGAACCACAGACCTTGACCCCTCCATAACACCACCTTAGACCACTGTGCTACGTAGCCTGTCGACATAAGATTTTATAAATTGCATATTTGACGTAAATTTATTTCCATCTGGCTTCCCACTGCATAAGATATTCATACGTGTTTGTAAGACATTCATTAAACTTCTTTTCTATTGCATCTAATCTTGCGTTATTTTTTTCAATAACTTGTCTGTATTCTTCATCATCTCCAGCAGTGTTTGGGTCTTCACGTTTAAAATATTCATTGTTAACCAATTTTTTATCTACAAATTTTATTAGTGTTTGATTCACTTCGTTATGATAACGGTCATATTCTTTCAATACGTAAGTGAAGACAAAATGCGTCGTACCTTCAATCTTAAAGCTTAAAGAACTTTCAACACAGTTTTGAGGGTCTGTCAGTGCGTCAATGAGATAGTATTCGAAGTCAGTCAATAATCTTTTTAAAGTCATTTCATACAGGATAAAATTTAATGTTGTGAAGAAATAGTGTTTATCTCAGAAAAAATAAAGTTAGTTTTTATTTTATTTATTTTTTTATCCTGTATGTAAGAACAGTAATGTCAACATTAGAGAACACAACAACTGCTATCGTTCATGAAGCCATAAATGAAGAATACGAATACATACAATATAACAAACAATTGAGACTCATTCGTTCAGTCAAAGATGATATGTATCAAATGCAAAGTATAATGAACGCTCTTCGTTCTACAAAGCAAGCATATCATTGGTTTGAAAACCAACAGGCAAAAGAACTTTTAGAAGAATTTCCTCATATGATTGCTTCCCTCGGAAAACCGAGGGAAGAGATTCCGTACGAAAATCGCAAGAATTTGGCACCTGGTTTGAAAGGTTATTATGTTCATAGACTTTTAGTAAATGCTGTAGCAATGTGGGCTTCACCTCGTTATGCTTGTTATATTTTCATGATGTTAGATGAACTATATAAAGCAGAACGTGGAGAGATGGAAAAGAAACTTCAAGCAAAAGATGAAGTCATTGAATCCAAAGACAAAAGCATACAGAAAAGAATACCACGTTCAGTACCAAAAGGAAAGGAAAAGAGTTATAAGTATATGATTTATACTGAAGAGTTGGAGAAAGAAGAAGATAGAGATATGGTTATGTTGCATTTAGTCAGAAGAAACAACAAAAGCTTTTACGACCTTGCTAAAATATATAAATCTGACAGAAACTGGTTCTATCGTGAAAACTTACCGATTTCAATGACACCGAATGAGCAAATAAAAGAAATTGTCAAAAATACTCTTCCTCAAACACACTATGACATCAAAGGTTGCACAATACTTACCTTCAAAGAAGACTTAACATTACTGAAGAAAAAATAACAGAATATTTCGATAACTTCAAAGAGGAAGAATGAAGTCACGACAACATTAACGAAGAAGTCACGACAACATTAACGAAGAGAGAATGAGGTGAAAAAAAGACCCAAAGGGTCAGAGCCGCAAAGCGGCTAGGTGATATCTCACCTCTTCACCAAAAATATATTTTTGGTTAAATAGCTTCAGGGTCAATTTCTTCAACCATTTCACTTCCTTCGTCAATGTCAATTGAAGCTTCTTCAACCTTTGGTAAGAACTTTTGTATAACATCTTTGTTCGTTATTGTCTTCAGAGATGAAGGATAATATTTCACAGATGTTTCACCCTTCTTATATTCTTTCTGTTCGGAAAGATTCATAGCAATACTGAAGAAGTCAATGTTGGAGTTCTTTATGACAGTATAGTGTGTATCTTTGACATTCACGAAGAAACCCTTTTGTTTCAAAACTACTGCTAACTCTTGTGAAGTATAACGTTTGCGGTCAATGACGATAGCTAATGGTCTGACATACTGACCAAACTTAGATTCTTTCACAAACTTCTTGTTAAAGATAACATTAACGTTTGAAGCATTATTGAACTCATTCTTGATGGCAGTAGCGAGAGCATTGTATGAAAAGAACTTGCAATCTTGCATGTGTTTCATTAAAATAAAAATATTAAATTATTTTGAAAAATAACTTAAAAAAAATCTAATCTAATTTTTTCAAAAAATATTTTTTTATTTCCTACTAAAGATGTATCGGAAGTTGTCTAAGTTAGAACACTCGGAAATAAAACAACTTCTTACAGAAGCTAATATAGATGTTGCAAAGCATTACGCAACAAACAAAAAAGCACTCGCTGACTTCATTAAAGACTATAATGGTGCAATAAGTTATGATAGAATTCATGAGTTCATAAAGCCGCAACGCGGCGAGGACGAAGTCCATGCAAGAGCATTTCCTTTAAATGACATTGCTATTGACTTATATCATAGACGTTCAGTACCTCATGAAGTAAGAAGAGAGATGTTTGACATAACAAATGCAAACGTTGGTGAAACAAGAAGAGCTGTACCTCATGAAGTAAGAAGAGAGATGTTTGACATAACAAAGCCGCATGACGGCGCGGGCGTAGCCCATGCAAACGTTGGTGAAACACGAAAGAGAGATGACACACTGAAACAACAGAGAAGAGAGATGTTTAAAAGTGCTATAGAACAAGTTCGCAAAGCTAACGATGTCATTCGTTCCATTGACGACAAACCAAAAGAAGGTGAGAGATGGTTAAAGAAAGATGAAGAGAATAGGAAGAGAAATGTGAAGTCAGGCAATAGACTCATTGACTTTAACATCGAAGCTTTAGATGAACCAAACAGAGACTACTTACACAAACATTTCGGTAAGGTTTTCATGAGACTCTTAGAGAAAATTAAAATAAACTCGCAACAGAGATGGATGGTATGTTATAAACTTGGTGGAAAGTATGAATGTTCTACGTTAAACCTCAATAATATTGGAACATTACTACATCAGCTCTTGAAGGAGAACTTTATATCAGAGATAGAAGCAAATGCTGCAGGTATTGTTGAAATGCACTATGACTTCTTCTTGACAAACATAAAGAATCTTACCGAAATAAAGATGTATGATTTAACAGAATATGAAGGCTTAACGATGTCAGATGTAAAGAAAGGCAAACCAAAAAAGAGACCATATAGAGATGAAAGCACACTGACAAATGACCAGAAAGCCATTTTGGAAGCTCTTAAGCAAACAGGAAACCCAGCACTTATAGAAAGCTTTTGGAAAGATAATGGTGAAAAGAAGTTTTATAAGAAGAGAAGCGGTCAGTTCTGGAAGTATCTTTGCACATTACCTATAAATCTTGAACGCTACCAAATCTTCAATGAACTGAACAAAAGAACTGCAACACTTATGACAGAGGACAATTGTTTCGTTTATGCTTGCATTCAGGCTGGAGTAAATGAAGAAACTATTGACCACATGAGAGAAGTCATTCGTGTTAGAGACTTTCCTCAAAGTAAAGTACAAGAAATTTCCGATTCAACAGGTATAGCATTTAATGTTACCATTGGTTATTTCAATGACTCAAGACATAATGAAATAAAGAGATATATACCAAAAGAATGCGAAACTGTTAGAACTATTGACTTACTTCTTGTTGAAGACCACTACATGCTAAATGAAAGATTACCAATGACAACATACTTCATTCGAAACTATATAGAAATCTTGAAGGAGTGTGGTGGAATGAACATTGAGAAACAGATGAAGATTTATACAAAGAGAGAAGATAAATATGTAGTTCGTTATGATAGAACAACACCGCTATGGGATGTTATGAAAACATTGTGGGAGTGCAAATATTTCGAACCTATTTCTTATGGAGAACTTTTCACATATACTACTGACTTATATAAACAGAACCTTGCACCATTTAAAGATTTGACATATGCTCCAAAGTATTGTGTACAACTGAAGAAGAAAGCAGAGTCAAAAGAAGTAAATAAAGCTAAATGTAAATTCATTCCTGAGCACGTTTTCTTTGCTGACTTTGAGTGTAGCACAGACGGCTTTCATAAAGCTTTTAACATCTGTTATGACAGTGAAGATGGTTCAGTGAGTGAAAGCATTTGGGGTCAAAACTGTGCAACAGAATTTTTGGAAAGACTTCCTGACAAGAGTTTAATATATTTCCACAACCTCAGTTATGACATAAACTTCATCTTAAGACACATGACAGAAGTGAAAGGAACTCCCATCATTAAAGGTTCACGAACAATGCAAATAACTGGTTTATATAAAGGACGGGCAATTATTATAAAAGACTCTTACAGTGTTATAAATAAGAAGCTTAAACTATTTCCTGCTATGTTTAACTTACAAACAGGACCGAAAGAAGTATTTCCATATAACTACTACAGCAGTGTTTTGTTAGCAAATGACAACAGAACTGGTGTCATTTCTGAAGCATGTAAGTTTATCCATGATGCAGATACATTCATGAAAAACATAGATTCCATCAAAGGTTGCAGAATAGATGAAAACCACTTCGACTTAGAAAAATATAGCACGTTTTACTGCAAACAAGATGTAAGAATTTTAAGAGAAGGTTTTGTAAAGTTCCGCAATGACTTATTGAAAGAGTTTGATTTAAACGTTTATGACTACGTTAGTATTTGTTCTATTGCTAACAAATTGTTTGAGAACAGAGTATACTTCCCGAATGGAAATCTTTATGACCTCTCAAATAAACCAAGAGAATTTATTTCGAGATGCATTCAAGGTGGAAGATGTATGTTGTCAGATAACATGAAACAAAAGAGCAAAAAGAAACTCATTGCTGACTTCGACACTGTTTCATTATATCCTTCAGCTATAGCAAGACTTTATACTTTAGAAGGTATTCCAAAAGTATTGAAGGAAGAAATGTTAAGCACAGAGTATCTCATGAGACATTTATTCGATGATGACCAAAAGGAACCCATTGGTGAAAAGTTTATGTCTGGCTTCTTTGTTCTCATTAAGATAACAGAGATTGGTATACCCAGACACTTTCATTTAATAGTTTGCGACCCTGAACTAAATCCAGAACTTAACGTTCCAAGAAGTTCAAACACTTGCTGTCTCATGTATGTTGACCATATAACATTACAAGACCTCATAAAATATCAATGTGTCAAATGTGAAGTGTTGCAAGGATACTATTACGATGGAAACAGAGATATGAGAATAAGAGATGAAGTAAAGAAGTTGTTTGAGTTAAGGTTAAAGTATAAGAAAGAAGGAAACCCCTTACAAGAAATTATAAAACTCATTCTGAACAGCATTTATGGCAAAACTATTCTATCTCCTATTGAGTCAAAAATAACCATAGTAAATGACAAAGATGCTATAAGATATGCTATAAGAAATTACAACCATATAGTGAAGTTCGAAGGTTTGGATGGTTCAGATAAAACTATTTTCAAGCTAACGAAAAGCATTTGCAGACACTTTAACTTCTGTCCACTTGGTGTTAATATTCTGTCTATGTCAAAACGTATTATGAATGAAGTATTCTGTACTGCTGAAGATATGGGTCTTCAAATCTTTTACCAGGATACCGACAGTATGCACTTATATAATGAAGACATACCAAAGCTTGCAGCAGAGTTTAAGAAGAGATATGGTCGCGAACTTATAGGAAAGAACCTTGGTCAATTTCATAGCGACTTTGCAGAAATAACACCTGGAAAACAAAGTTTAGCTTATAAAAGTATTTTCTGTGGAAAGAAGACCTACATAGACTTACTCACTAACGATTTAAATGAAGTTGCATTTCACTGCAGAATGAAAGGCGTGAAGCAAGATGTTATTGCTTTAACCGCTAATGAAATGTTTCCTGAAGCTATACAATGCTATTACAATGAAGATAAGAACATTCACATACCTGTTGGAACATATGACAAAGACTCTGAGTTCAGTTTAATGAAACTTTACAAAGCACTTTATGATGGTCAAGAGATTGCATTCGACTTATGTAAGTCATGTCAACCTTGCTTTGCTGAAAAGTTCAACTTTTCAATAACGACTAAAACAAGCTTTATTCGTAAGTTGAAGTTCTGAGGTCATGGGCTTCGCCCTTGCCGCTAGCGGCTTATTTTTGTCAGCAATGAGGTCATTCGTGATAAAAATAAAGCTAGCGTAGATTTTACAATACTGCGATGGTAGAGTTTAAGAGTTGTGCTTCAATGTAGAGACAGTCCTTCCCATCTGGAGGCAAGAACACTGGACATTTATGGTCATGAGTGGAGAACATGTCTATCCAAAACTCACGATTGAAGCCAGTTAATTTATAGTATTTAGGGTTAGGAAGTGGTGAAGTTCTTGTATGACCAATGAACTCATTTTCAACGCCTTTGGCTATATTAGAGTAAAGTATTGCTTGCTTTCTATCCCAAATGCCAGGTGTTACAATCTTTGAAAATTCATTTTTCCTCGGAAGCATTGCATCATAATTGAAAACATTCTTAAAATCATCACTTGGTTCGGAGATTTGAAATCTTATACGTAATGGATTTTCTTTCTTTTTAGCGACTTCATTGAATGGTGAGAATACAATGAATTGACAGTCATGTGTTCCATCTTCATTTTCATTAAATTCATAATGAAAGTCTATAAGTTGTGGCTGACTACCTTCTTCCTTCAGTTGTGCAAGAAACTCACGTAAAGGCTGTAAAGTTTGTACTTCAATGTTGAACTTTTTCTCGAACATCTCATTAAATGAAATCATACATTGCAACAATGTTGTATCGTCTTTAAAGTATTTGTATATGTGAATGTTTTGGGCGCTTAAAGACTGTTCGTCATTTTCTATCTCGACTTGAAGTATAAAGTCAACCTTTCTGAAAGCACGTGTTATATACATAGATGTTATGCCAATGTACTTCTCTTCATTTATGTTCACAATCCAGTCTGTTGGAAACTTAAACGTTACTCTGTTCCCCTTTATTTTGACGTCAGGGTTTTCACTACTGAACGCAACAGATAAAGGTATTTGTCTATACATTTAGTTTGGATAAAAATAAACCATTTACTCTTTCTTTGCTTCAGCTTCCTTTGCTTTTTGTTCTTCCTTTGCTTTTGCTTCTTCTCTAGCTTTTTTCGCCAGCAAACGTGGGTTCTTCTGTCTTCCAGCAGCTAATGCAGCTAGTTGTTTTTCACTAAGTTTTCTCTTTGGTCTCTCTGGCTTTTGTTCTTGTTTTTGTTCCTTCAGTTCGGATAAAATTTGCTCGCGAATTTCTTTCTTCAATGCTTCAACATCTATGACCCCTTGGGTCTTGTCCATATGACTTGTCTGAGTCATTTGACTGTAGATAAAAAACTAACTTAAAACTTTAACCGATGTAAAATGAGCTTGTCAAAATCAGAGCGAGAGTCTATTATATTAAATGACGCAAGAGGAATACAACATCCTTTCTATTACGTAAGTCAGAGTAAAGATGGTAAAATATACGTAAGAAAAAGAAAGGTACCATTAGCGAATGCAGAGAGCGACAACATTAAGGTGCATGGCAAGGGTGAAGTCCACGAAGCCCATATAAAACCTTCTGTTCAAACTGAGCCACCAAAAGAACAAGAAGAAAAGAAGCCAGATGTACTTTCAATAACGAACCAAGAGCTTATTGCAAAGTTCGTGAATTTCATTGAAAAACAAACCGAGTCAAAGAACCCTGACCCGCCAGTGAAAGAAGTTGAGACAAAAGAGAATGTACAGTTCATTGAAAATGTCAAGAAACAACTTCCACCACGAATGCCAAGAAGAAGAGTGAGAATAATGAAGTAAATAGATATTTTTATCTGAAGTAAATACATGCAGAACGAACAGTTAAACGAATTTACTCCAGCAGAGCATATTCATCAGATTCGCTCATATTTCGATATCATAGACAATGCAGTTCAAATTGGTGACACTAATAGAAAATATTCTGACGCAAAGATTCCATCACAACCTGGAACTGCTAAAGATAACACATGGGTAACATTCAATCTCTCACCTCCTGGTGAAAATATGTTGGACCTTTACAATACATTCATTACGTATAAAATGGAAGGTCAATTTATTGTAGATAAAGAAATTGGTTCAGGTTCCAATAAAACAAACCCACCAGGATTTTGGATTGGTTTCGATGACGCTTTCTATGCAGTTGCTGGATATCAAATCCTTGCAAATGGTCGTATCGTATATTCTCAAGACAACGCAAGAGAAGAAGCATATATAACTTCAAACTCACAAACTACCGAACAAATAAAGAAAGTAGATGTTTTTTCAAAGACTCGACATGAAGATGTATGGAGTCATTCGGGAACATGCAGAACAGGACAAATTGTTAGTGGTCCAATTACAGCAGGAAAATCATTTGATTTTAAGCTTCGTTTAAGAATTCCTGTTAGAAGATTCCTTCCATTAGAAGCTATTCGATTTATTCCAGCTTTTGCAGGAAACATTCAGCTTAAAGTAAAGTTCAGTAGCGACGCCTTACAATGCACATCTATATCTGTAAATGATATCATTGCTTTCAATCCAACTCTTAAAGTTGCATTTGCTTCAGATTCAAATCCACCGACAAATAAATTTGTTCCATGGAATGAACCATTCACTATGATAACGAAGGCAGTAGAAGCTAGTGGAACAGTTACTATTACAACTGTAAACCAGCAACTATTTCGAACAAAGATGGATTTTAATGAATGTTTCATTCATCCAAAGTCATTCTCTTTAGACCCTAACATTTATACAGAACTTGTAGAACATTATACAAACGAGGCTTTATGTTTTCCTGTTAAAGTTATGGATTGGATTCCTATGGACGGTTCATTCTCAAAGAATACAGATAGTTCAAGTGCAACATTTACAGCAGCTTATACGCCTATTAATGTTAAAAGTATTTGGGCACTATTTAGAAAGAAAGACAACTATTATGTTAATTTTGAGAACCCTAAGTTTAAATATCTTCAGCTTTCCATGGGAGCTTATGGAAATATGCCTGCAGAACCTGAAAAATCATATGGACCTGTATTTTATGAAATGGTTGCGAACGCTTGCAATACAAACAATGATATGATTGGATTTAATGAAGATGTTATGAGGTCATTGGTGGATGATGGTAGTGTGGAACATAAATGGGATAGCTATGACAACACACATTTCTTATGTGGTTTTCCAACAGAAGTGGACTTTTGCTTCCAGCAAGGTCAAACATCTACTGCTCCAATAACATACAAATTGTCTGTTAAAGGACCTATTGAACTAGCAACTGAAAACGTACCAAAGCCACTTATTGGATTTATGAGGGATTGTTGCTTTGCAATACAAGTAAGACAGTCAGGCATACCAATAATAAGACTTGACGACTATAACTTAGCCACGGACGACAGTGAGGAATAAAGGATGAACGTTTATTTTTAAAGCTTATAAATGAGTTCTTCATCAAGCTCTCGTGAACCTTCACCATCTATGAAACAAACTTTACCAAACGATTATGGAGCACCTATTGAATATTTCTTACGAGCTGCACAATGGCAAAGAGCAGTCTCACCAAGGTTAGGTGTTCCACCAGCTCCTGTCAAAAATAGCATTTGGTCAAGTCCTTATATAAAATATGGTCTCCCACTAGGTTTGCTAGCTACAGCAGGAGCAGTAATGATGTTGAAAAGAAATAAAGCAAATGTTATAAATAATACTGAAGTAGCTGAATTTGAACAAACTCCGACACCATCGCCAAAACCAACGTCAAAACCAACGCCTTCACAAACAACACCTTCAATGACTCCTGAACCTATGAAAGTACAAACTCCTGTTCAAAAGTCAACTCCAAAACCGACTCCAACATTTAAACCAGAACCTACTCCTCAAATAAATCGTAAAACTCCTGCGTTTCCTTACTGAAAAAATAATGTTAGTTTTATTTTATTTGAACATTTTATTTAGAGTAAAATGACGACTAAAGTCACTGAAGCAATGAAACAAAAATTTTTGGTAGAATACATTAAATCAGGAGCGGTTCCAGAAGGTTTTTACGTTCATACTATGAAGGATGGTAGAGTTCAGTTTAGAAAGATAAAGCAACCATTAGATAGAGAAGGTATATTAAGGAAGATTAAACTTCATGAGGACAACATTGCTGAACTTAGGAAGAAGTTAGAAGAGTTGGAGAAAGGAAGAGAGTTATAAAG